AATAATAACAAATTTAAATATTCTTAATAAATTATCACATAAAGAAGATTTATTAAGGATATTAAATAATCTCACAAATAGTCTTAACATTTTAAATAACAAAATGTCACAATTTCTAATAACAAAATGTCACAATTTCTACTTTTCTCTTATTATAAATGATATCTGTTAGTCTTTAATGACAAACGAATGTCCAATACTGATTGTTGATTTAGTATAAACATAACCATTTGAAGGACAAAAATGAGCATATATTGAGTAGAAGGAAATTAATGAACAAATGAGGAAATTAAAGGGATATTAATGAACAAATCTACTATGTAAAAGAATGATAACGAACAAATATTCGTTTAATTAATCTTTATTTTTTTAATATTTCATGTTTATTTTCATGGTCTTTCTCCTCATCATCACCAACAATAATCATATATAAGATTTTCTACAGCATGAAAATTTTTTCAGGAAGAAAGATACAATGAAAACTTGGGATTGAGAAGGTATTCAAGGGTAGTGACTTTGATGTGGAAAGAACATTTGATCTCTTTCAGGTGCGTTGCGTTCTCTTTTTTGTGGGCTAAGAATAGAGGCGGGATGGATTTATATACTCTTGACTGGTTGCTAAATCCTTTGGAATGTTTGAAATCTTAAACCGGTGGTATTTGCTTGTGCTTTAGTATGGTGCCACAAGGGGTTATTAATGTTGTGAATAAAAAGTACAATTAAGTTCTGACCATTTATTAATTTTTTGTACGGGGGTATGAGTATACCATACACTAGGTAATATGAATAAAAGATTTGTTGTAAAAAAAAATCATCTTCAATAATAAAAAAAAAAACTAGAAAAATAGTAAAATGGTATTAAAAATTTTAAATTTAATTATTAAAAAAATTGTGGGATCTAATTGACCATTTCTCAAAAGCATAGGGGGGCCTTAGGTCCTCCTCTGCACTTTATAGGGACCTGTCTCTAATCTCTATGCTTCGTTATCTAGATGTTCAAGGGGAATATGTTTTGTTGCTTCGAATTTGACTCTGCCTCAATTACAGTATATATATTAGGATGATAATGATTGGTATATCTTTCGATTTAACACACTATATAACATATTTTGGTTCAATTATTAAAATTTGTTTTTAACAATTTTTCCGTCATAAATTCAAATTTGAAAATAATAATTTTTTAATAAATATGTTGTAAGCTGTGTTGAATAAGAGGATATACTAATCATGTTATTATACATTATAATTTTGCTATGATTTCATTTAAAAAATTTTTTTGATTAATTTGCTTGCATTGAAATTAATGCACCATCCACAAACAACATCCTTTTCCTTTTGACATCGAGAGGGGTATTTAAATTTGAAATTTTGTTTCTAGAAAAAAGGTGGGGGCAACTAAATATTATGTCTATTAACGTACAAAGATGTATTTATTTTTAGAAAAAATTTGTTTACAATTTTTATTTGTTTATTTCTATCCGCATTGACATAGACAATTATATTTATTGACAATGTAACATAACAATAATTTTTATTGGTTCATTTTATTTGATGGAACATATGAATAGATAAATAGTCACTATTTTAATATTATTTTTTTATTATTACTAAATTTTTCAATAAATATTATCAATGACTTATTGTGAATTTTTAATAATAATTCATTACACAATTGATTATTCTAAGATTGATGAATTAGTCAGCCATTACGCAAATAATTCTAATAAGATATTGATATCAATTGTTGGACCATTTTATCATATCCATCTTATAATTTACATATTATTTAGAACCCGAAAAAATGACATCACGTTTACAATTATATTTGTTCTCTAGTGAATCATATAATGGCAAGGCAGAAGATACTATGATTATTATTTATCACTGCATAATTTGTCTTTCCTTGGAAATAATTTAGCTTCTAATAATCCTTATGCTGCCATGAAGTGGTCCTAGTTATGTATACGAAAAAAAATGTGGCCCTCTTTACATTAGAAAGTATATATTTTGTAGAATTCGTTCAATTGTGGTCCCTTTGCACTACTGAATATTTTATTTTCCCAAATTGCATGCATCCACCGGAAAAGGACTACGTCTTTCTTCTATGAACAAAAAGGACTACATTGTTATTAATGAAACTTGACGTTGACTCGGGCTTGGATTTGTTAGGTGGTCATTTCAGAATTCAATTAGAAATTTAATGTTTGGGAGTCAATGAAGGCTGGCTCGGGAATGTATGCGTGAGAGTGTAAAATCACATATATATGAGAAGAGGTTATATTAAATCAAAAAGATATATTTGTCAAGTTCATTGGCCTCCACATATATATTGCATTCTAACACTATGTTTCTCTTCAATGTGGGATTTTATGCTCATTTCTCAACTCCACTCACATATGACCTTCATACTCCAACATTTTCTCTCATGAACATGAAAGTCTCTCTCCCATGAATGTAACTATTTTGGACCTCATCTATCTAATTGGACTTACTCGAAACCTCACCTGTCTGCCTTGAAGACTTCACTCATCTTCCACATTTGCCATGGGCGCACTACTACAATGTTTTTACCATGCCATGAACTTCTCCACACTCACAATCTTTGAACAAACCTGTCCTTAAACAATGATCGCACCATGATTGAACCATCAGCTTTAATACCATTTGTTGGGGAATCAATTGGGTCAGCTTGAGAGCGTATGCATGAGAGCATGAACACATATGAACAAACACCATATTGAACCCAAAATATATGCTTTTTAGGTTCATGGACCTTCACAAATGTATTGCACTCTAACACCTTGTTTCTCTTTGATGTTGAATCTTACACATATCTCTCAACTCTACTCATATGTGAACTTTATACTCTATTTAAAAGACACTAAACACATTTTAGTTCTTTTTTTCTTTCTAATTACATTTTAAAGATAGAATGTTATGGCTAATTAATTAAACCAACTCTACTCTTTACTTCACGAATTGAGTTACGAATGTTTCTCATATTGCTTCAAGTCAGGACACTCAATGTTAGAAGCAGAGCTTTACACGCAACCACACAAAGAAAATGGGCGTAGATGTGAAGAGGAAGAATTGGCTTGAAGAAAGGGGTCGAGCCCTAATCGACACTTGACCTGCTTTGACACCATGTAAAAATTACATATGTAGTCTTTAATACATGATTTACGTCTAATTTAAAACTAATTGATAATAATAACATAACAATTTTTGTATTTAAATCACACATGTTTGACTATCTTTGTACTCAATTTTTCATATCTTTTATTGATGAACCAAAATTTATATAGATGGGAGTATGTGGTATATTCGAACCCTTGTAAACAAACTAAATAGAAATTAAATTACAATAGGAAATTTTGTATGCTTGGCAATGACTTAACTACAAGCACATAATTCCGAAGGATTATTGCACACATGCATGGTTGCAGCGGAGTCCAAAATCCATCTTTGATTGTTTTGCTCCACCTCAGGATCACACTCTTCACAAGCTAATATTTCAACCACATTTTCTTCAACAATATTAGCCTCCCCCTTGCCCTTGGTTTCTTGACTTTTCATCAATATTTTCATATTAGAAAAGTCCTCCTTAAACTTTGGGCATTTATATTGTTTGTGACCCAACTCACCACAATAAAAACACTGCACTTCACCATAATCCTTCTTAGGTCTGGATTTCGACCTTTCTCGATTTCCTCCACCTCCACGTCCATTGGATCTTCCCTGAGAGTGCTCCATCACCAAAGCATTAGTTTGATTGGCACCATCATCCTCCCCAAGAAACTTATCATTCTCCAACAACATGGATGTGACATCTTTCATCACCAAAGTAGTCTTACCCACTAGCATGCTCTGCACTAGGGACTTGTAAGACTTTGGCAAGGATGCAAGTAAAAGCAAAGCTTTTTCCTCTTCTTCTAGAACATCCCCGGCATTCACTACTTGTGTCACCATCATGTTGAAATCAGATGAGTGCTTATGAATATTTGTGCCTTCTGCCATCTTCAATTGATATAGCTCCATCTTTAAACACAATCGATTGGTTAAAGATTTTGAAGCATATATCTCTTCAAGCTTTCTCCACATGCCTATTGGAGTAGTCTCTAAAAGGACATTGTATTTCACCTCCGGTGCAAGCGCCAGCCGAATTTGACTTGCTGCCTTCTTTTGGATAGTACTCCAATCACTATCCCTCACCTCAACTGGCTTGGTCTCTTCTAAAGCTGCATCAAGTCCTTGACAAGTAAGGACATCCTTCATAGTGCTTTGCCATAGAGCAAAGTCATTCTTGCCATCAAATAGCTCAATTGAATACTTCATGGCTTCAGTTTGCATTTCGCCACAACACTAGGAGCTCTACCAATAGCTCTGATACCACTTGTTGGGAATTTCGAGCACCACAATCCCACACAAACGGAAGCAATAAAGAAATTGAGACAATAATTTAACGTGGTTCGACTTATTCACCTCTCAACAAGTCTACGTCCACGGGAAAGAGAGAAATAAATCCACTATTAAGAAAAAGAGTACAATAATTTGGAAGTTCTCTCACTTAAGAAGCTCTCAACTCCTAGCTTCAATCTATAGAAACTCCCAAATTCTCCCTAATACTCTCTCTTAATCTACACAAGGATTTCTCACAATTTCTCTCTTTCTTTTCTCTCACAAGAGCTCTCCCTCAATTTCTCTTGCTTTCTCTTACTCTTGCTTGCCCATTGTCTTTGTATGCATGGGTATTTATAGTGAAAAATCCAACCACCCATGCACCATTTTTCTTTGCCTCATTACTACCCGTCCATGATTTTCTTTGTTCATTAAATGGCTCAACATGCAATCTTGCATGATTTCAACAAAGTAATCCTAGCCCACAACTAGCTAGGTTGGTGAAGCAAACTTCCACACAAAAAGTCCATGGGTTCACACATGGGGTTGGACTTTCTTCCAACATATACACTTTGTAAAATTACATACTTCATTACACATTGATGATTTTCGTAGAGTATATCATTATATATATTGTCTACTATGTGATCTTTTCAACTTTTTTTTATTATTATTTTCATGAAGAATAGGCACCGTGGCTATTTCAAAATAAAGGGTAGATATGAAACTTTCCCTTGTAAAAAATATTGAAAAATCTAGCTACATATATATGCTTACAAGCCAAACAGGTGAAAATATGTATGGTATTAAACTGAAAAGAGTAGATACAATAGAAACAAACAAGAACAATTATACATGATACATAATTATAGCCATTAGATATATCTTTCACATAACGCTAGCACAACATATAGTTCCATAATTTTTTATTTTTAAAATATCTTTCAAATTCCACAATAAGCCTTAATAGAACAGGGGAATTTCTTGCCCTCCTCTTTATTAAAATGAAGGAAACTGAAATGGTCGAAAGGCTTGTAGCTGGGTGGGTGAGACTCATCGGCCAGCTCTTCAGGTATATGTATCATTCCGGTGACGAACGAAAACATTCCGGTGGAGTATCTCATCTCTTTCTCTGTCATAATGACTTGATGGTAACAGGATGGTATTCTGTCATTGCTCCACACCTAAGAAAAAGGGTTAGGGGGTGAAAAAGTAACAAACAGAAGAATAGGAATCAACATAAAAGAAAAAAGGGATTGTTCTAAGATGAAATTAGGTCATTTGGTATCTAGATATGCATACCCACCATGAGTGTGCATCACCTGCCATGACTATGTAAGACGAAGGAGGCATCTCCACATCGATCCACTGACCATCTTTTGTTCCCACCTGCAAACCATTGACATGGTTTGCATGAATTATGGATAGCATAGTCTTGTCTGAATGAGGAGTTAAACCCATATATCGTCATCTCATCCTTTCCCGGGTCTCTGTATTTGAAGAATCGGAGGAGGAAATTGCTCTTTCCAACGTAAGAGTCATGGTAACTACCAACACAATAGATCTCACATAGCATTTTCATCACCATCACGTCCAATTCCACAACTAACTCCGAGAAGCTTTGAACAGTTTGGCTGCATATGTATACAATACATTCAAAACAAAGGAAAATTTGAAAACAAATAGTTTTTACACTAGAAAACGTTGGGCAGGTAAAGGTGGAGAGGGTTCACGAATCAATAAGACCTAGTATACATGCATTTCAGACATCACCTTAAACCTAAAAAACTAGTTTACCAAGTTTATAAGTCTTTACATATGTTTGAGTTATTCATATCAAACAGACAAATAACACAAAAGCACAAGCTTCGCTTTTTCAAAATTTAAGTTTTGATGTTGAGGAGAAGGTTGAAAGATCGAAGTTACCTAAGGCAATCATTTCCTTCAGGCCACACGAGATGAGTGAAACTTTGACGTTCTTCAATGGTGGTTGGATTGTCAATCCCCAAGGACTTGTAGAGGGGAAGAAAGCTATACTGTCCACAATAAGAAAAGTATGGCTTATCACTCTGGTTTCTCATTTTCACCTACGTTGGGAGATCAAATAATTCTGCAGTCCTTGTGAGAGCCGCGCCATGGAGATCCAGAGGAACTTTAATGTAAATTGCTTCGAAACATCCAAATTCTTCCATAGCACGGCGAACATCAGCGCATGTTGCCAGCCATTTGCTCGCCCCGGCCGGGCCGCAGATTTTCTTCGGAAAATTTTATAACAGGGAGCTTAAAGCTGGGATTGCAAACCCATAACTTTGAGATTTAATTTTCTATTATTAATGTGTCAATGGGTATATTGTGGTGGTACTTATATAGGACTCCATTTTTTTTTGTTTTTTGGTAAATACTTATATGGGACTCCGTTGCTCCTATTGAATTAGAATTACAAAAGTAAGAATTGGATGATGTGCTCCTATTCAATAAAATTGTTTTTGAATCAACAATTTACAATTTGTTTGTGTTGAAAGAAATTTGATTTTTTTAAAATAAAATTTTGAGTTTGAGTCTTATGAATAAAAAAAATAGATGTTAAAAGAGTTTTTTCACTTATAAGATTTGACTCTAGTTAACTCTGAATTAATTAAATTTAATGTAACTTCCAAATATAAAGATTTAGTATCATAAAATAAAATAAAATCTTTTTTTTTTTACAAAAAAAAAAAAAAGAATTATAGGAGTACGAATTTGGAAGATGTGCTGCTTTAATTATAAGAGCCGCACCATGTTTTCATCCACCAATTCATATTGCCTTAATTAAACCATGTACTCATTTATAGAAAACAAACCATAACCTCTTTTATAGAAAAGATATCATATTACTATTAAACTATTTAAGTTAAGTAGCGGTGATAAGTAAATTAGTTTACTATTTTAATTATATAAGAAATTAAGGCATGTGAATGTAAGGAATTAAACTTTGAATGAAAGGTATACTTAAATATTATTGAATAGAAAAATGATTAGTACATCTTCTGATTTAACATATCTAATAACACATATCGGTTCAATCATTAAAATTTACCTTTAAAAAATTTCTCATCTTGAATTCAAATTTAAAAATATTAGTTTTTTAATGATTAAACCGATGAGTATTGCTAGGTATGAACAGTTCTCCCTTTCCCAAATGCCTCCCTGTCCATCATAGTATTTGAACTTAAGATTTTCAACAAAGATACTCAAACTCTTAACTATTTGGATGTCTTCTAGGAGACACTTCTCTAAATCCCTTAATATCTTTAACAACCATATCTCAAACATGACATACTACATATATACTCATAATATAGATCAATCATTGATCGAAATTAAATTAAATAAAATTAACATAAAAGGACTAAAGTTTGCACAAGCAAAAACCAATTACCGGGTTGATTAAGGTTCTATTTAGTTAAGTTTTTTGTTTTTGGTATTTACGATCAAAGTATCCTTAAGTTAGCTTTTGTGCACCTCAAAACTAATCATTCATTCTCTCTCGAGGAATCTTAAAGACATAGCCCCATTGACTAGATGCATTCAAGGAAATTAATTTCCTTAATTACTAGTCTGAAGACTTAAATTTTGGATCTAACCTAAAAAAAAAAAAATTGCTTAGCACTGCATCCTCTTGGGATTGTTTATTTTAATTAATTGTTAGAGAATAACTGATAATTGTTTTCTCCAATTGAACAAATAAAAGTATTTGAATTATAAACAATAATAATAGATACAAACTTTGAACAACTAAACCAAACAGATTTAAGTCTTAATTGAGTGGAATAAAATTTAAATTTAACTATAGAAGAAAATATTTATAGGACAAGGTCCCTTAATTATGCTTAAATTTTGCATTTAGGGGTGGCTTAATTGGGCAAGGTCTTTGATTCAGGTCTAGGATGGCTCATCTATGCCAGGGAAAAGAGAATAGAAGGAAGAAGCAT